CTGCATAATAAAGCATATATATATATATATATATATAAATTATATATTATATAGGTAGTTTAACAGTTCACATAGGTAGAAAGATGCCTTATACCTTGTCAAAAGATACAATGTCTTTGATGCTTATGAATGAATTTTCTATTTCAGCGATCTAGCTATTTTAGTGATGAATTGTCTGTGATGTCTGTATATGATTTATGTAGAACATTATGTCATATGTACACTCTACTGTGACCATGTGTTTAAAAGGTTCAAATCAGGATGGAAAAGAGGTTAGAAGTCCTCACATTCAGAGACTGACAGAAGGAAGAGTTAGGGTCACGATAAATCAAACAACAGTGTGTCTGTAACAATAATAATGACTTGCCTGATGAGAGTCATTACATTCAACTAGTTCATTAAATCAAGGTTCACATAGCCTACTGTAAATGATACTGAATATGACTTTCATAGAGTCATTCAGAGTAGATCTAAACATTTTACATTTAAAACTGACGGTTTGTCATCACTCCTTCAAAAACTGGATATTTTTGAACATTTATTTCTCTGTAGACTTAACGAACTATTGAACATCTCCACTTCTGTTGCCCAAGAAAGAAAGTTACCGAACACACAGTGTCACACTACATGACATAGTGTTAGTGTTATGTTCATCATAACAGCTAGCCTATTACAAAAATATGATGAAACTATAATTTTAGCTCGAAGGACAATTATACTAATCTACACTTTTCTGAACTGTTTATTTAAAAACCAAAATACAGTAGCCTAAAAAACACTGACAGACAAAACACATTTGTGGATTTATGCTTTACTCTAAACCACATTTACTGAGATAAAACCATTGTCATAGATTTCCCATGTGATCTAGCCTCGATCTCCTATATGATCGATTAACAAAGACTGATTGATTTACAGAGAATGCACTCATTGATTGAATTAACATTAGCTAGAGTAATAGTAAATTTGATTAATGTAAGTTTATTCTGTGCAATTAACATATGCTGTATGATAAAGAAAAAAAAACTTAGGCTACAATGTATTATAGGCTACTTATGTCTCAGAAAACTATACAACAGATTTCACTATTAAGCCTAGCCCTAAATGATTTATTAATAGCCTACTCATCTCACGTCACGAGGATATCCAGGGGGCTCCACGAAGTATCTTGACAACCATTATAGGCTACTCTGGATAGTCTGACCAGAGTTACGTACGATGGAAGCAGAAGCAAAACCAAACTGGCACACTTTAGGCATACGAGGATGAAGCAATATGATCTAATTTCAGCTGTTCGGGGCACTAGGGTTCTTGATTATTCGGGGTGTCGCATTACCAACCGTTACCCGAACTTTTTGGGTTTAATCGTTGCTTACCTTGGAGTGGAAATTTCCCAACCGAAACCGCCCCTCCTACTACTAAGATCTATCATAGCAAACATGTACAAATTGAAAAGATTCAACTAAGAGTCCTTCACACTCTTCAGGATCCTGCACGAGCTGAAAATGACCACCGGCGTGGAGCGACTATTCGACCAACTTGGGCACTTTAAAAGGTACCCATTTGTTCCTGAAAAGTGTTTTATGGCGATCACATCAAAACGGTTAATATCTACTTCGTGTCATCGTTATCGCATGAATGATGCAGATTTCTCATTATGTTGGTGGCGTTCAGTGGTGGACAGTAACGGAGTAGCTTTACTTCGTTACTGTACTTAAGTACATTTTTCAAGTATCTGTACTTTACTGGAGTAGTTTTATTTTGAGTAACTTTTACTTTTACTTCACTACATTCCAAAGCATAAGATCGTACTTTTTACTTCACTACATTTCATAAAACATATCGTTACTTCTTATAATATATCACGTGCTCCGACACGCAGAACGAACTGATTCTTTTCAATGAACCCTTTAAATCGGTTCGCAAATCGCACCAAACGATTCATTCACGAATTAGAATGATCTGATTGCAGCTGTTCTCGAGTCGACAACTCACTGATTCAAATGAACCGCTTAGTGTGAGTCTCCAGTGAACTGAATTCACAAGTAACAACCGGGAGATGTTGTGAGCGCGCGCGCGTCTGATGCTGTTAAAAGTAAGTTACTAATGT